CTGAGGCGATGCAGCATTCAACAGGAAGCAAGGCTGCATTCTGGGGAGGTTTAGGGCCGTTCTGTGATTTACAGAGGCACAAGTGAGCACGAGCTGCACTCCGGGTTATTAAACCTGAGATGCCAGGCCTATTTTAAGTCTAAGATTTTAATAACTACCTCAGCAAGCAAAGAAAATAATTACTACATTAAAGACAACAGTTATTTTGCCATTACGATTAAAGCCCATCTCCGACAGCAGAGTAACTTACAAGCACAGCGCTGGAGTTAAATGCAGCATTACGTCTTTCCACATTGATTTAATTTCTCTGCTTTTCAGACAGACTGAAACAATCTCCTGAAGCATTTGCTAAGAAAAACCCCTCCAGGTTAGTGGAAGTGTCCCAGCTAGCTACCTCCACCTGTGCTGGCTGGTTTTGGGACAGGCTCACACCCAGATTTGCAAGAGATCAGACCCAAAAAGCAAGGCAGGACCTCCCTCCCTGTCCTGGTTCCGGCTGGGATAGAGTTCATTTTCTTCCCAGTAGCAGGCACAGCGCTGCGGTTTGGATTTAGTAGGAGAAGAATGCTGATAACACGCTGATGGTTTAGTTGTTGCTCAGTACTGCTTATGCCAGGCAAGGACTTTTCAGCTTCCCATGCTCTGCCAGGGGCACAAGAAGCTGGGAGGGGGCACAGCCAGGAGAGTTGATCCCAACTGCCCCAAGGGCCATTCCATACCATACGGTGTCATGGGCAGTATGGAAACTGGGGGGGTTGGCCGGGGAGCAGCGATCGCTGCTGGGAACTGGCTGGGCATCGGTCGGCGGGTGGTGAGCAATTGCATTGGGCAGCACTTGCTTTGTGTATTGTTAGTATTATTATTTTATTATTACTATTATCATTACTATTTTACTTTATTTCAATGATTAACCTGTTCTTATCTCAGCCCAGGAGTGTTTCTCCCTCTCACTCCTCCGATTCTCTCCCCCATCCCATCGGGGCAGGGCAGTGAGCGATGGCTGCGTGGTGCTGAGCTGTGCCCGGGGCTGAGCCAGGACACTCCCCAAGAGGGATGCCAAAGCCCAGGGCAACTCCTCCTGCCCAAACAAACCACCCAAATAGTCTGTTCTCGCTGCTGCTCCCAGGAGCCCTGTCCAACCTGTGTTGTTCCAGAAGCACGAGACGGGTCTCTGGAGTTAACTCGTCCCTGTGCATGCCCTATGGCTTGCGCAAGCTTTGTGCCTCCTCGGTGCCCTCCCGGGGGTGTTCAGGGAGAGGGTCAAATCCCAGCCCAGGCACCCCAAGAAGGCCTGGAGGAATCGCTCCCACATCCAGCCTGGGGTTTTGGAGCACGCAAACGCCTGCGTGGGCTGCACAGGCGTTGTACAACTGGCAGGACAGCGGAGATGGGATCTCTCCTCAGCAATGTTTTTATTGGACGTGAGCTTTACCCAAGTAGTGAGCTTTCTAGTTGTAAAACCCATTAAGACTTCTCCTAGAAATGTAAGCAAACCTATAAAAACCCAAAGGCAATCCATTCCCCTCTCCTACCTACTCCGGTTATTTACGCGGTTTTCCAAAACACAAAGCGCTACGTGCATTTTTGCGCTGCGAGGCAAACCATATGTTTTACTATTTTTCCCAATAACTTTATTCCGGAGCCAAGTTATGTCCTCCATTAAACAACACAACCACCAGGCAAACGCGCCGCGGATTGTCTTACCAGCTTCTGGGTGAGCCCCGGGGGAGCCCACTCGTACGTGATGGTGTCGAAGGTGGGGTCTTTCCGAGAGACGATGGGGTTGGTGATGATCATGCGGTTCCTTTTGTAAATGCGAACGCCATCACCTCCTTTCACCCGGGCGGTGAGCGTGGCATACTTGGAGTCTGACAGCAGGCGCCCAATTTTCCGATCATCCTCCACGTCCGAGCTCAGGCTGTGATCCTCCTGGCTGCATTTGCATGACTTGCAGATTTTCCTGTGGGCGACAAGCGAGATCACCCTTTCGAGGTGAGCTGGGCTGAGGGGGGCACGCCATCGCGTGCTGGCTGAGCCACTGAGCATCAGCTTCTTTCAAAGGTTAAATGCAGACCGGGGTTACGGCGCGAGACCAAAAGGCTCCCGTGGCCCGCGCTGCACGTGGGAATTCAGCACGATTCATCCCAGAGGGGTCGGCAGCGGCACGGAGCAGAAAGCTGCAAACCCCAAAGTGCTGTCCCCAAGCAAAAGCAGCTGCAGCAGTGCCGGTAGACTGCTGCATCCCCCCCAGTGCAGGCAGCTGCCTGAAAACCCCTTCAAGCGTCACTAAACCTCCCACCCTCACCAGTCTCCAACAGCCGAGCGCTAACCTTGCCTCTTACGGAGCTTTACATGCCATTAAAAAAAAAAATGACTGCTAAAAGAGGAATTGATACTTAGCCATCTATCATTTTAACTATAATAGCTACAAGCCATGAAGGTAAGTCTATAAGGCCACTCTCTACAGGCCAGCTTTTCCATCAAATGCTAACAGCAAAAGGGCAAATTTTTTTTCCCAAGTATGTCAGCAGGATCCTGGAACAAGCATGATTCAAACCAGCCTTTAATTACATCTAAAAAAAAAGTAGCGGTTCAACCAAATGAGTGTTTTAAAGTTTGGATTTCCATGCAGCTGAGGTATTGAAATTGGGAACTGAAGGCCGCAGGACACGATTGCATGCCACCATGGCCAAGCCTGCTGGAGCCTGTCAGCAGCACGGCTGCGGGCTCCTGTGCACCGCCGCGGCAGGACCCGGCTGCACAGCCCACAGGGGCTCTCCAGGCTCACCGAAGAGTCTAGTGTGTTGCAAGACAACCTCAGAGGGCATTAATTCTTTTTTAATTAATGACATCTGGATAACTCCCATTTCAAAGCCGCCTTTGTTTCTCCCGTTTCGGTGCGCAAGCAGATAGGGCAGGGCAGCAGCCCGCTGCCCAGAGCCGACCACGCAGTCCTGGTCAGCTCCCACCAGGTACCGATATGGGTGGCTATTGACCTGAACTAGTGCTTTTAAGAGGAAAAACCAGAAATAAAGTATCAAGCACCAAGATGTTTCCGGCACTAAGCAGAGCATCTCGGCCATCAGGGTGCGCAGGACGGCCAGCAGCAACAGCGGCCACGGTGCTGCCGGGCAGGACGCAGCAGTGTAGCCCTGGCCAACGGGGTTTTGTTGCACCCCTCCAGCTCTGCACCCATGCTCGCCCTCAAGGATGAGGGTGACAGCCAGGCATTTGGCACAACTCCTACCAACAGTGTGGGATTATCTTTTTGGTCAGCATTTCCCTGCCTCCAAAGCAAGCAAGGCCGTGTTTGTTTTCACTAACTCGCTTCCAAACAATCTGACGGGCCGGGAAGCCA